ACACATATATTCTTCTTTCTCTTGGCCACAGATATCTCCCCAAACATGTTCTGACTTTCTACTTGGAGGTCTCCTTGGGGACATTCTGAAAGAAACCTCTGTTGCAGTATTAGAACGGATCACTCATCCCTTTCCATTATTAAATGTTCTCTACTATCTCACCTTAGGCAATATAAAGCCCTGGTTCACTCTCAGGCACGAGAGCTGACCCAGTTACGGGAGAAGTTACAGGAAGGGAGAGATGCCTCCCGCTCACTGAATCAGCATTTCAAGGCCCTCCTCGCTCCTGATGACCCTGAAAAGTCCCAGGGTCAGGACCTCCGAGAGCAGCTGGCTGAGGGGCGCAGGCTGGCAGAGCACCTTGTTCACAAGCTGAGCCCAGGTGAGGTGGCCATGGGCCCTGATGACACACAGCTCCAGGCTTATGGAAGTCCCCAGACCTCCACACCTCCACAATGACAACTTTATGGGTAGTGTATCTTTCCAGTAAACATTTGTGGCCATGACATGACCAGGACTTCCTGGGTAGGAATAGAGATGGGAAACCCATGGGGTTGGAGGTCACAGTATTGCAAAGGTCTTCTCCTTTCTTGATGGAACATGGTCTTTGAAGCAAGAGGCAGCATTTGTCCAGTTTTAAAGGACAGGAAGGAGGCTGTGACAGGAGGCAGCTTGTTAGAGTGAAAAGAGACCCAGACTAAGAGTGAAGGTTCCCAGGCTCTATCTTCAACGACGTCCTTAGCAACTGTGGGCAACTGATTAATTTATCCTTCCTGGGTTTCTATGTCTGATTCTGTGAAGGCAAACAAATTGTCTCTGGCATTCAAATGTAGGAACACTTATGACTATATTTCACAATGAGATAAAGCCCCTCACTGTGTCGTGTTGGAGAAGTCACTTGATGTGGTGGCATTTGGTGGTAGGAACTGGTTTAGACTGGAGCACTCCCCATGGACAGGTTGTCCCTGGATAACACAATGGAAGCCACTTGGAGGGCCCATGAAGTCCGTAATGTATGGAATATTGTGGGACAAAGTTGTTTGTCCTGTTCTAAAAGAAAGATATAGGTTCTAAATGCGAGTTGTGACAGGACCCAGAGTCTGTGCCTAGGAATCAGATCTGTGACAGAATTGGGGAGACAGCTGCTGAAGTTCAGAGAACCTGGACGAGACTCCAGTGATATGAAGAGCAAAAGGTCTTTTCAATATTTGGCCACATCTTGATGGTGACTCCCAAGATCAGAAACGCATTGCCTCATGGATCAGGAAAACACGCCAGGGCATTTTTTTAGAGATAAAACATGAGAGCTTTCAGTACAGTGTGGACTCATACACATAGATCTTCATGTCTCTGTACATATATGGCTCACTGTACTTACGTAGATGAAGTGGGACACATCTGAATGGACACTTCTGTATTTGCAGAAAATGATGAAGATGAGGATGAAGATGAGATGGATGAGGAGGTTGAGAAAGTACAGGAATCACCTGCCCCCAGGTAACACTGAATAATCAGGAGTGGGTAATGGGTGGTAAGATATGAAAAGGGTCTCAGAAAGAACACAAGGCGGGTGAAGGTAGTCACAGATTCCAGATGCAGGATAAGAAACCTGCAGAGTCCACTGATTTCATTCACTCATCCAGCAAGGAAATAGCCCTGTTAACATGCTTGTCCATTGTCTTCATGGTACACGTAAGCATGACCCTAGATGAACTCACAGCCCTAGGGACTTCCTGCACACACAGAGGAGAACTTTTCTTCTCTGCAGTGAAAGTCAGGAGGACATGCAAAGCTGCTTTATACACGGTTGTCTTTAGGTTCCTTTTAGTAAAGATAAGTAACAGAGAGGCAACAAGCAGAGGAAATAGGAAGCAACTAGCAAAGTTGAACACAAAGAAACGTATTTAGACAAAAAAAATTTATATTTCATGTCACAATATTAAAATTAAAAAAAAAATCTAGAAGGCACACCATCTCTAGAGTCCACAATGACTTCAACACCTGTATTCCCGTGGCCACAGTGAACTACAACCCAGCTTAGACACACAGTGTGGCAGCTGTTTTTGGATCTCTGTGTGTGCTGTCAAGACTGTACCATACAGAGACAACTCAGTTTCCATCCTGCTCAGCTCCTATCTACCCAATGCAATGATCACTAGCTGCTCACTTCCTCTCTGGTTCCCATGGCAGCCATGCTCTGTTGCAGACAGAAAAGGATTGCCTGTTCCCTCTTAAAAGGAACCTCTCCTTTGCATTCTGGGACCACTCCCTTAAGCCTCCTTTCAAAACCAGCTAGGACTTCTTGGGCTCCAATCACTTTTGGATTAATCTTTTGTCATCTCTATCCCACTGGGCTCATCAGGGAGGTGCAGAAGGCTGAAGGAAAGGAAGTCCCTCAGAATTCACTGGAGGAATGTGCTGTCACTTGTCCAAATAGTCACAACCCTTCTAACTCCAACCAGCCTCACAGGAGCACCAAAATCACATTTGAGGAAAACAAAGTTGACTCTGCTCTGGTTGTAGAGAGTGAACGCTTTCATGATGAAGAGGAGGAAGCTCTAACCATTCTCCCAGGTAGCCTCTCTGTTCTTTGTCCCTCCCACCTCTGTCTAGGTTGAGGAAGATCAATTCTGAGGACAGTCTGTATATGTATGTATTGGTTTGAATCACAAACTATAATGGAGCTGGGTGCAGTGGCTCACACCTATAATCCCAGCACATTGGGAGGCCCAGGTGGGTGGATCACTTGAGTTCAGGAGTTCAAGACCAGCTTGGGAAACATGGTTAAACCCACCTTTACAAAGAATATGAAAAACTAGACAGACATGGTGGTGCATGCCTGTCATCCCAATTACCCAGGCAACTGAGGGGGGAGAATCACCTGAGTCCCGGAAGTAGAGGCTGCAGTAAGCCATAATTATATCACTGCACTCCAGCCTGAGTGACAGAGTGAGGCTCTGTCTCAAAAAAAGGAAAAGAAAGAGAGAGAGAGAGAAGAGAGAAGAGAGAGAGAGACAGAGAGAGAGAAAGAAAGGGAAGGGAAGGGAAAGGAAAAGAAAAGAAGAAAGAAGAAAAAGAAAGAAAGACACTATGATGGAATAATAAACACAGTTACTTGAGGGTCAGAGAACTTTCCTCTCCTCCTTGGCCCATGGCATGGACTTTGTCTTCCTGGCCTCAATATTAGCATATTGGACCACAAGCAGGTGTGACAAAGTCATAGCCACCTGTATACAGGAGGTAGCTGTCAGGCCTCCTGGCTCAGTTCGTGTGTCTCTTGTCACTTGCAATAATAATGTCCATGGAGTATCTATGCCTGTCACAAGCCGCTGACAGTCTTGCCTATGTATTTGGACATGTTTCTCTGGATTCACTGTTCTCAGCCCCAGCCTTGGTCTCCTTTAGGTCAGCTTGTCCCAGCTAAAGCAGTCACCTTGAAAGCAGGACATAAACACTTCTACCTTTATCTTGCTTATAAGTTTTCCTAAACAAGGCTGGGCCCTGAGTTCCTCACCCTGTGAGTGGCCAATGTTTCTGTGTAGCACCACAGATCCTTTTCTATGCAAGGGTTGTTAGAATTTATCCATCAGTTCAGTCTTCTATATAAATTTCTCTAACCATTCATTGACCGTGATATATGATGAGATAAATCAGTATTGCAACAACACATCTGGAGAGTAGTTAGGGCAATTTTTGAAGATCTTGTGGAAAAAGCTTTGTTTAATTGTTGACACAGACTTAGGTCAGAGCATAGGTGATTATGATCTACCAGATGGGGGAGATTTTATCCCATGGATCTGGAAAGAAGGCTCATCTACTTCTGAAAATAAGTCAGAATGGTCCTGTCAAAATGTCACATTCTTACACTGAGGATATTTATGTCCTGCGCCACGACTGGACATTGATTTGGTCTTGTGTCAAGTGTGATTTCCTTACTGTGACCTGCTCTTCTGAATTTGTTTACAGAAAATCAAAATGATCATGAGGAAGAGGAGGGGAAAGCACCAGTGCCCCCCAGGTAACTGTGGATTTGTGGGCTGTTAGTTCAGTAGTGACACCTGGACACCACAGATTCAGGGAAAATACGAAGTGATGAATCGAATTGTCTCATCCATTCATCCAACTGCAAATTACCCCTTTCACAATCTTGTCTTCTTTATTGTGGTACTTGAATAGGTTTCAATTTCTTAATCCCTCTCAAGCATAGGAACTGACAATCAGTTGAGCCAGGTGAACAGATCAAACTCAGGGATTTCCTGATCTGAGCTGTGGTTGCCCATGTGATTAATCCAGAGTGAGATACATATATGTTTTCTGTATGTTTTGTGTCAGCATGTTGGCAAGTACTTGAATGCAAATGAGAAAATTAAACATAAAAATTTCGTATGTCAAAACATTGAAAAATACAGGACTTTAAAAATGCAGGATCTGTGTGTCTGGAATGCCTAAACATCTCTGTTCACTTGGATGCTGCATGTAAATGTCAACGCAATTTGTGTGAAGGAAGTGAAGGCCTGTGTTAGTTCTCTCTGCTGCAAGTCATGCTGCTAGTTTACAGGGGGAGTCTGGGTTTCCTGCAGCAGCTGTTTGTGGCAAGTGCACTGAGCACCTGCTGCTTGTGTTTGCTCTGTCTCCAGGGCAGTCATATCCACCCCACATTTAGAAGGATGAGTTTTCTCTCTTGGAGGAGACTCCCCCTTCGCTTTCTGTGACCCCTCCCTTTGTGTGCCATCAAATCACATGACATACTGTGGTGTTGAATCACTCTTGGTCTAATCTTCTGTCAATCCTATCCTACCTGGCTCCTCAGGAAGCTGGAGGATGCTGAACAGAAGGGAGTCCTGTAGGACTTAACAGGGGAATGTGTTTTGTCTCATTCTAGACAGCATGACATGTCCAACTATTACCTGCATAGTGAAGTCTCTTTCCTGGCACTGGAGGAAGAGAAAGTTTGCTCCACTCAGGATGTTGCCAAGGATGACTCCAATTCCAAATGGGATGAGACCTCACTTGGCTTCCTAGGTAGGCTCCCTATTCTTTCCACCACACAATCTGTCCATAATGAGAGATGTCATACCTTCAGGAAGACACTATGCTTATATACTGGTTAGAACCAGGCTTTAGGATTTTGAAGGAAGGCATCCTAGGAGTCAGAGTTGTGCTCCATCCTCCTCCAAAACCACAC